AGATTCAAATTTAGAATTCTCAGAATCCTGAGTTCCATCGGGAATGTGTTGTGTGGGGAAAGCTGGCCCTGCCCCCGGGCTGGCTGCCGGTTCTCCTTCTCCAGGAGGAAGCACTTTGTTTGCACCCTGAGGGCTCTCGCGCGTGTGTGGATAGCCCAGGCTCCTGGCTAAGATCGACCATTGCCGCGTACACAGCCTTTTCTGGCAGCCCCTCAGGCCTGGGGTTGCACACCAGAATGTGAGCCGGCCTTTGGGAGGACGTGGGCAGCAGTCCTGACAGGCCCTGGTAGCATGATAGATATTGGCAAGGAATCCTGGGTCTCTGGGCCTGGAGTATCCATCCGGGTCTTCTGATAAGCAGATCCAGGAATGGAATTGGGGATGCAAGAGGTTTCCTGAGGAGAGACATTTTTGAAAGATAAAAAGCGACAGAGGAGGGTTGGTTGGGGAAGGCTTCAGATCACAATGCTGATCTGAAATGTGTCAAGGGCAAAAATGGGCGGGGAGAGCCCCACACTGTCCTGGAGATCATTTACAGGGTGGTCAACCCGATGGGCAGCTCTGCTGCAGACTGTGCATCAGAGGAGTCCTGCACTGGGCATAGAAAGCTCCCGGTGTGCTCACTGCTGGCCGGGCTGCCCGGAGGAGGCTGCAGTGAATTGTGAAGGGGCTTCAGCTGGATGCTGCCTGCTAACTACTCTCCTTGCAGCTGAGCAGTAAGTTCCTTCTGGAAGGGAGCTCTGAGCTACACGCCTCTGTGCCTGCCACTGTCCACAATAGCCAGATTGGCTTTGGTAAGCGGCCGTTCATGCTGCTGGGCCCATATGTCATCTCTGCTTCTGCCAGCTCATAGCTCACGGCATATGCTAGCTGACATCCCGTGGCTGAGCTATTCTGCCTACTTGACTATTTAGTGCCCCTTTCGTGACTAATGCTTTCAGGTAGCTGATATATAATGCAAAGATCGCCATTCTTTATGTCAATTTCCATATATCCATGACCATGCCTCTCCCCCAGACCTCCTTGTCTCTGATCATTCATTCTTCTAGGTTGGCCCCTGACCAGTCTGCCAGGTCAGGTGACAAGGTGAACTCCTGTCACTGCCATGAGTTCAGACTTTTTTCACCTTTGGCAAAGATTCCTTCCACACAAAGTTCATGACCAGGGACAATGCTGGAATCCCCCTGATGGGAAGGGCTTCCCCTGGCCACTGTCTCTAGCGGTCCGTCCCTGAGTGTCACTGTCAGGCAGCTGCTCTCCAGTTTCTGCTTGTTTCTGCACACAGCATCCAGCCAAACCATCTGCAAATTAAATTCGGGCCCTTCCTCCACCCTCAGCCGGCTATAGGAGACCCCTGCTCACTCCCACCGACGGGAAGGCCATGGGGGTGTGCTGAGGGAGGGGTGATGGTGCAGCTGTGGCAGATGACACGGGGTCTGGGACACCTGCTCATACAACTTCCTCGAGCTCCCCCACCCCCAGCTCAGGCTTGATCCCAGGTGAACCTTTTCCATCACTCTATGAGAGCCCAGATCATGCTGGATATTTCTAGATGCATTTTCACTTAGATCCCCTGGGCAACTCTCCCATTCCCATCAGGGCTCAATAACACACCAAGAGCTGCTTTTCGAAAAGCATGTATTCTCTGCTGCAGATGGCATGGCCTTGCTCCAGGTCCCCAGGGGCCTGTGTTGTGATGTTCCCAAGGCGGCTTGTCATTAGCTCTACACTGCATCCTCCTCCACCATTAACACCTCCAGCACTGCAGGGACTGCTGGATCAAATGGCCCAAGCGGCAGGGCTGCCTGCACCACAGCCTGAACCTGCTACAGGCCCCACTCTGCTCTTGGCCACTCAGAGCCGGCAGCCTTCCATGCCACTTACCAGATAGTCTGGAATAGCCTTCCCAAGTGTGGAGCGTATTGCCTTTAGAACCCAAGGGGCCTATCAGGCATTGTGCCTCCTTCTTTGCAACAGGGGTTGTAAAATGCAGCAATTTGTCTTTTACTTTGGAGAGGATGCCCTGGCATGCCCCTGATCACTTCATCCCTAAAAACTTTATTGATGTGCCAGTCTCTGAATCTTCATAGAGTTTCTTCCCCACCCTCCAGGGTACTTTACCAAGTCCTCTACAGGCCAGCTACTTCTTTCTCATCCTGCCAAATTAGAAAGATGTCAGCAATTTCATGGATCAATATGACGCTCTGGGGGATGCCCAAACAATCCAGATCTCTCTAGAGTACCTTAAGACAGAAAGCAAGTGAGTGAGTCAAAGAGCCCTGGGGCAAAACTGTAAAGTGTGTTGTCCGTTCCATGTGAATGCAAAATATTTCTGATTCTCTTTTCTGATCAGGATAAAAAATAATGCACTCATTAAATCCATGGCCGTAGTAATCTGCTGTAGCAAAGATACTACACTGGTCGTGGTAACTGGGGGTATTGCTGTTTGGGTTTGTGGTGGTCCACAGTTCTCTGGGTTCCCTCTGGTTCCTGCAGATTCAATTTCATTTAATCTGGTCGATTAAATGGAAATACGGGGGAGAGCTGCAGCCCTGCCTCCTTGAGTTCCATAAGGGTGGCATTAATCTCTAGCAGTCCCCGGAATGCGATATTGTTTGTATTTTCCTCTCCTGGCTGAGGTTCAGGGTGGGAATAGTATCAAGAGTTTTCACTTGGCTTTCCCCAGTATGATAGCTCTTACTCCACAGGCCAAAAACCCAATGGGGGAGTTTTTCCACTGCCAATGATACATTCGGGGACTGAGAAAATGACCTCAGGATGGATCCAGGGAGGCAGTGGACCCACTCCGCTGGACTTCAGCCGGCACTCGCTTTCTTCCCTGGCTCTTTGCGTGGCCCTACTCTAAGAGATGGGCTGGGAGGATGCTTTGGATCTCTGGATGTCAATGTCAATTCAGCTCTTCAGATAATCCTTCAAATAGCTGAGTACTCCTCTTTCCCCAGCAAAAAGTCACTCTAGTAAATGGTCATAGGTCCTGTTGTTTATCTGAAATCTCTACTTTAAAAACTGTCATGTCACAGGATTCTTTCTCCTGGGTACCCAGCCACCTCTTCTGTCAATGGTTCTCAGTTCTGGAAACTAACTCCAGTCAGGGGCTGTGTCTTATGCCTGTAATCCCAGCTACTCGGGAGGCTGAGGTGGGAGAATCATTTGAGCCCAGGAGATCGAAACCAACCTGGGCAATGTAGTGAGAGCCTGTCTCAAAAAAAGAAAACCAAATAAATAAAATTACATCAAGTAAACTAAAAAGTCATTTTTCTTTTCTTTTTTTTTTTTTTTTTTGAGACGGAGTCATGCTCTGTCGCCCAGGCTGGAGTGCAGTGGCCGGATCTCAGCTCACTGCAAGCTCCGCCTCCCGGGTACACGCCATTCTCCTGCCTCAGCCTCCCAAGTAGCTGGGACTACAGGCGCCCGCCACTTCGCCCGGCTAGTTTTTTGTATTTTTTAGTAGAGACAGGGTTTCACCATCTTAGCCAGGATGGTCTCGATCTCCTGACCTCATGATCCGCCCGTCTCGGCCTCCCAAAGTGCTGGGATTACAGGCTTGAGCCACCGCGCCCGGCCTAAAAAGTCATTTTTCAAAAAGCTAATTCCAGTCCAGTTTATACATACGCACATAAATACAAACACACACACACAGCAGTCCACATATGGGCCGCCCCTCGCTAGCATTGCTGTAGTCTGTCAACATCTCCCTCACTCTGGAAGTCAAGCCCTGTTGGCTGCCACTCCAGCTTTGCCAGTTGTTACGATGGGTGTGACCCTCTGGCTCCTGGCGATTAAGCACTACCATGTGCCTCTACTGCTTCAGGGCACCCATGAGCAGTCCATGAGCAGCCACAGGGGCTGCGACCTGCAGACCCCCAGAGGCAGAGCTGCCCAAGGCTTTGGGAGCCCACCCCTTCCATCACTGTGCCCTGGATATGAGACATGGAATCAAGGAGATTATTTTGGAGCCTTAAGAGGTAATGGTGCACTGCTGGGTTTCAGACTTGAGTGGGGCCTGTAGCCTCTTTCTTTTGGCCGATTTCTCCCTTTTGGAATGGGAGTATTTACCCAATGCCTGTACCCCCATGGTACGTTGGAAGTAACTAATTGTTTTTGATTGTACAGGTTCATAGGTGGAAGGGACTCACTAGCCTTGTCTCAGATGAGACTTTGGCCTGTGGACTTTTGAGCTAATGCTGGAATGAGTTAAGACTTTGGGGAAGGAACTGTTGAGAAGGCATGATTGGATTTTGCAATGTGAGAAGGACATGAGATTTGGGAGGGGCCGGGGTGGAACGATTCGGTTTGGATCTGTATGGATCTGTGTCTCTATCCATATGTCATGTCAAACTGTAACCCTCAATGTTGGAGGAGGGGCCTGGTGGGAGGCTATTGGATCATGGGGGCAGGTTCTCACGAATGGGTTAGCACCATCTCCCCAGTACGGCCCTCATGATAGAGTTCTCACAAGATCTGGCTGTCTAAAAGTGTGCAGCACCTCCTCCCTCTCTCTCTCTTCCTCCTGCTCTGGCATGTAAGATGTGCCTGCGTCCCCTTCTTCCACCACGCGATTGTAAGTTTCCTGGAACCTTCCCAGAAGCTGAGCAGAAGTTGCTATGCTTCCTGTACAGCCTGCAGAACCATAAGCCAATGAAACCTCTTTTCTTTATAAATTACCCAGTCTCAGGTATTTCTTTATAGAAGTATGAGAATGAACTAATGAACCTGGTCTTAAGCCCCACCCTGATCAAGCACCCTCCCTGCCTGGACCCTCCTTAGTGCCCACTAGTCTATGGCAGTCCATTCTTGCAGCACCTTTCAGGGTTCTTGCTTTCCTCCCTTATCAAGCCTAGCCTGTCCCCAGCTGGGTTATGCTGCCACTTAATCCTACTTATTGGCTTTGCAGCCAGGAAAGGATATGGGGGCAGATCCTGAGGGGGGGCCCTGCTATTGTGTAGGGGAGAGACCTCTACAGGGTGGGGAAAGCACCGACTCTTGAGAGAAGTGGCAATCTCTGCCAACTTTGAGGGCTCAGAGGGGTCTTGGGAACCAAAGTCATCAGGGGCATCCACCACTTGGGTCTTCCCACCATCAGAGCAATTTCCCAAGTCAACATCACTGAAATTATAGCAATTGGGTTGCTGTGTCATCCTAGGCACCCTCTGTGCCTCCCAGACCCCCTGGGATGGGGCCCTCACGCTAGCTGATCAAGGTGCCACGCCCTCTCTTATTGCCTGCTTTCTTAGGCCACTTCCAGCATCAATGGTGTCAGGTCAGGTCCTCTGGGTAGAAGAAATGGAGTCAGGAGTGCTGGAGACTGAGTAAGAGGTAAGCCTTGTTAACATGATAGGAGGATGAAGCATGAATGGGCAGAAAAAGACTTCATATCACAATGCCAATCTGAATCTGGGAAAGGAACTAGAGAAGGAGCAGAATAAGCAGGTAGAGGCTCAGAGTGAGATGCCATCTGATGAAACCTGGTCCAACCCAATAGGGAGCTATAGTGAAAGACTACCCATGAGAAGGCTCCCCCACTGGCAGAAATGGCCAGCCACTAGGATTCCTGCTGTGGTCCCTCTTTAGCTGAAGGCTGCCTGGCGGAAGTGTGGCCTTGACTCAGATGCTGTGGCAGATCCTGATGGGGTTCTGGCTGGAGGTCTCAGCTAAATGCAGCCCTTGCCACTGACAGCATGCTTTTTTTTTTTTTTTCTTTTTTCTTTTTTTGAGGCAGAGTCTCACTCTGTTGCCATGCTGGAGTGCAGTGGCGTGATCTCGACTCACTGCAACATCTGCCTCCCGGGTTCAAGTGATTCTCCTGCCTCAGCCTCCCAAGTAGCTGGGACTACAGATGCACACCACTACGCCTGGCTAACTTTTGTATTTTTAGTAGAGATGGGGTTTCACCATGTTGGCCAGGCTGGTCTCGATCTCCTGACCTTGTGTTCCACCCACCTGGGCCTCACAGAGTGCTGGGATTACAGGCGTGAGCCACTGCGTCCAGTCCCTCATGCTCTTCTTGAAGAAAGTTCTGAGAGGCAGATGCTCATGACTGCCACACCTGGGGAGGAGCCTGGCAGAGGGTGAAGCTCCCTTTGGCCCTGTAGACTCCTTGCCCTTAGGGTAGAAATCCAGGTAGAGAAGGACAAGAGAGGAGCCTTTGAAAGCAGAGGGTGTACACTGCCCTAGTCCAGGCTGAGGATGTTACTGTGTAGACCCAGTTTGACTTCCCCCTGGCTAAAGCCCCAAACGACCACACCACCACCCAACACAAGTACAAGTGTGGTGGAAACAAAGTCTGAGTGTAAGACGTGGGCTTCAGGAATTGTTAAAATATTGTATCTTGATTTTTACATATTTTATAAAAACATGCTGGGTCAGGTGTGGTGGCTCACGCCTGTAATCCCAGCACTTTGGGAGGCCCAGGCGGGCAGATCACAAGGTCAGGAGATCGAGATCATCCTGGCTAACACGGTGAAACCCCGTCTCTACTAAAAATACAACAAATTAGATGGGCAGGGTGGCGGGCGCCTGTAGTCTCATCTACTCAGGAGGCTGAGGCAGGAGAATGGCATGAACCCGGAAGGCGGAGGTTGCAGTGAGCCGAGATTGCACCACTGCACTCCAGCCTGGGCAACAGAGCGAGACTCCATCTCAAAAAAAAAAAAAAAAGCTAATCTATTGCTTGAGTCCTCCCAAGGTTTGAGAAGGGCCTCTTCCAAGGGAGGTCCTGAAATTTAAGCTGCGTTAGCTTCATGATGATTCCATTTCTGCATTAACTATTGCTATGGTTTTCATATTGGGTAGTTCCTGTAATTTGAGGTCCTTCTTTTTCAGATGGTGGCTGAGGCTTACTACCCCAGGGAAGGGATGCCACTAGAGAAGGCAGGCAACCAAGATGGCAACTCTCAATTTTTGAGCTCCTAATTTTCCGATGGCAGACACAAGAAAAAAAAAATTTTTAAGAAAAAGCATTAGGTTGCAAAAATCTAGGCCTTTGAACTTTAAAGTCCCATCCTTGAAAGCCTTGGAGAATAAAGCTTATGCATAAACAGTAGATTTGGAAACAGAAATATGCCTAATTACCCAGAGCCATTCTTTCAATACCCCAGTGATTGTTTAAATATTCTATAGGCTGGAGTCAATGGCAGGAGGTGGGTGGGAAAGGAGTCAAGAGGGAGGAGAGGAGAAGCAAGAGGGTTGGGTACATATTGCCACGTGACCCTGAGAGGAGGATTCTGGGTCAAACCCCTAGGGGGTCGTGCGTAATGGAGACTCCAGATCCATTTGGGAATCTGGCTCTAAAGAAGACTTCACCTTGCCTTCTGAGTGGAGCCCCGAAGTGGCAAGACTCATAGAATTCCCCCACCGGTCCACACGAGAGAGAATGAATAGAGAAGGCTGCATGCTGGCTGGACCAAGGCAGCCTCAGGTGACACCACCGCCACCAACACCACCATGACCACCACCACCACTGCCACCACCATCACCACCACCATCACTACCACCACCACCACGACCACCGCCACCACCATCACGGCCACTGCCACCACCACCGCCGCCGCCGCCACCACCACCACCACCACCACATTATGGATAATAGCCCAATGTTTCCTGAGTTCCCTAGAGGGCTGAAAGAGAATAGGACCTAGAGAGATCGTATAGTTGGGACAGGCACTCATTAATTTGATCCAATGACTAGAGACTAGATGGGAACAAAGATGCCTTGAGAGATGTCAGTTTGCGCGCATAGATAGAAGCAGCTGGTGACTAGGCACTTGGGAAGCCACATGGACACACACAAAGCTCCTGGAAGACATTTTCAAGGGGTTGGGTTGTGCTGGGATCTAGAATTGGCTGAAGAAACCATGAGCTGACATGAAATTTCTGCCACCTATCACAATGGAGGCTCCATTTAGAAATTAAATTATATACTTAAAAAAAATATAAATCCTTCCTTCGTTCCCTCCCTCCCTCCCTCCTTCCTTCGATGGAGCTTCACTCTTGTTGCCTAGGCTGGAGTGCAATGGCGCCATCTCAGCTCACTGCAAACTCCACCTCCCGGGTTCAAGAGGTTCTCCTGCCTCAGCCTCCCGAGTAGCTGGGATTACAGGCGAGCAGCCACCATGCCAGGCCAATTTTGTAATTTTAGTAGAGACAGGGTTTCACCATGTTGTTCAGGCTGGTCTCGAACTTCTGACCTCAAGTGATCCGCCCACATTGGCCTCCCAAAGTGCCAGGATTACAGCCATGAGCCACTGCGCCCAGCCAAATGCTTCGTTTCTTATACATCTGAGTTGGCCATCTGAGATTCTGTTTCTACTACACAGGACTATGGGAAGGATTACGCAAAACCACCACATCAATCCCCTGTGCCATGTAATCAGGACACAGCAGATCGTAGCTGGGTATTTTCCATTTTCCTCCGGATCTGCTCTGCACCCTTCTCCACTGGCCCTCGGCTGTGGGAAGCTGACCTCATGGACTGCATGCAATGCGCATAATTGCCCAATGGGAGGCACCAACAGGAAATGGGAGGGGCTGCGAGGGAACAGCTATGAGGTATTCACTCTGCGGGTCTGGCAATGGCTGTATTTCTCTCAGTTCCTGCCTGGTGGCCCCCTCCTACAGGCAAAGCTCTCACGGAGGTTCTGCCTGCTCTCTCTGCTCCTCCGGGCGTCGGGGTGGCAGGGCATTTCTGCTCTTGCTGGCCTCAGATGCTTTCCTTCTTGTGTACCCTTAACCTGTGCCCACTTCTGTAAATAGTCCCTTCATTACACTCTCTGGAACCACCTTTTTGGAGAATGCCACTGTTTCCTGACGGGACCCTGGATGATACAACTATTATTAGTATTACCTTTAGTTTGAGGTCACATCTGATTCTCTGTGTGATCCCGTGGAGTCAGGGAGCCTTTCTGAGCCTCAGTTTCTTAATTTCTTAAATGTGAATCCAATACTCCCAGCTTTCGCTTTCCTACTTCAGAAGGATATTGTGGGAATTAAATGAGTCAATGGAGGTGACAATACTCTGGGGAAAAAAATACAACTGTGACCCTGTTATTAGAATTACTAAAAGTAACAATAGTAGTAAGATTGTTCCTGCCCAGAGATCTCTGATCCCTCTCTCTTCACTCCAGCACAATGGCAGTGACTTAGTCGTTGGTCCTTTGCAAAGCTATTGTCCTTTTCTGCAAAGTCCTATGCTGCGGAAAGATGAAACTTTGTGATCAGATACAGCACACAATTCTCAGAGCTGTGGCCACCATCTGACAAATGCCATGGGGGCTCCAGGCTGTGCTGCAGCCCCTCAGAGCAGACCCAGGCCTGCCCTTGCAGCCTCTGGGCTCTGTTTGCTGCTCACAGAGGACTGCTGAGAACCAGCCTGTGGCCCTGGCTACAGCCACTGAGCATCCAGGATCCCTCCCACCTGAGTAGCAGGTGGATAAGGCCTGGCTTAGTGGGAGCCGGTGTGGACTCAGGTTGCTCCAAGCTCCTGGCAGGAAGAAACTTGCTAGTGGGGTATGCATGGCCGGGTGAGCTGGGATAGCCCAGAGTGGAGAGCGAGGACAGTAGCCCTGCTGGGGGCAGTTTCACTTTGCTGTGCCTATTTTAAAAACAAGAGCACGTCCCTTGAGAGCTTCTCCTGCCTCTCCTTCCATACACTTAATCCATCCGGTCCACGATCCCCTCTTCCCAATCTAACCCGCCACCAGGCCTGTCAAGGGAGGAACACCTGGAGTAGCAAAGCTCATCGGTGGCCTCTGAGTGATCAAGATATCTTGCCTGGCCTGGTGGCTCACGCCTATAATCCCAGCACTTTGGGAGGCCAAGGTGGGCAGATCACCTGAGGTCAGGAGTTCAAGACCAGTCTGGCTAACACGGTGAAACCTCATTTCTACTAAAAATACAAAAATTACCTGGGCATGGTGGTATGTGCTTGTAATCCCAGCTACTTGGCAGAATTGCTTGAATCTGGAAGCTAGGGGTTGCGGTGAGCCGAGATTGTGCCACTGCACTCCAGGCCTGGGCAACACAGTAAGACTCTGTCTCAAAAAAAAAAAAAAAAAAATGTGGGCCCCCAGTTGTTTAAAATCAGGAGTCAGTACCCCTGGAGCTGCAGAAACAATTATCCTGAATCAATTTAGGACTATGTTCTGTTGCATGATGTGGAAAGTTGCCTACAGTGGATTATTTGAACAGGTTTCTCTTTCCTTATTTCTTCTGCCACTTTCCACTTGTAAAAAGGTCTAGAGGTAAGCAGCCCTGAACTGTTGCAGCTACTCAAGAAGGTGTGGCCTTTGCTCTCCCGGCGCTCAGACGACAGCTGACCTCCAGTATGCATCATTCACATCTGAGACACGAAGGAGAGGGAAGGACCAAGGGTGAGGCGCTAAATGAAGAGGCCAGTGAGGTCCATTCCCTTTCAAAAGCTGACCTGAAGTCTCAACCCAGGACATCACTAGCACATCTGGGTCACATGGGCTTCTACGGTCTGGCCTGGGAATCTAGATTCTCATTAACTACATTGGAAAGTCTGTTCTAATCCCACACTCAGATCCAGTTGACATTTTTGACATGGACCAGACATCAGATTTGACACGTCTGATTATAGTTGATACAGGGAAATGCCTGTATCAACTATAATCAGACTTATCAAGTCCGGCAATGAGGCTGGACTTTGGAACCTGGGTGGGGTCTGGAGAGGGGGAGAGGAAAGGAGAGAAATGTAGGTGGAGCCACAGTATAACAAGACTGGGGAAAGTTCGGAGACTGAGGGGTACTTTCTGAGGTGGTCCCCTACAGTTTTAAAGTGACGGCTTCCTGGAGTTCCACCTCTGCTGAGAAACCCCTCACCGAGCTTCCCTTTCTGTCTGGTTCTGTTGAACGGAAAATGACGTCTGCTTCCCACTCCCTGAAACTTCTCTTCAGGGTTCCTGTCATTGGCTCAAGCTGTGGGAGAAGGCGTGTGAGACCCAGGCCTTCCGGAGGCTTCCAGAGTACAGCAATCCCACGGACAGGAGACAGAACTGCCTGTGGAGAATTGCATTATAGCCAAGCGCCAGGATATATATTTATCTGTGCCTGACATTCTCATCTCTTTTTAAAGGAAAAGCCACACATTTGGCCAAAAGATGAAGTGGAAAAAATGTACTGTTGAACAAATATCCAGGATGGTTGCTCAGAATGTATAAAACGATGAACTGTGTGGAAAAATCATGCCTGTGGCAAATTGTCAGCAGGCTATATTTGGGGGTCCGAATGCAAGGCCCCTGCCAACTGAGTTCACATAGCCCCAGTGTTTTTCCACTTCTATTTATAGCGATGCACACATTCACACACAAAAAATGCAGAGGACATTGGACTTCGTTTTTAAATGATGAAAATGTTCTAAATGTATCTGGTTTCAGCACGTGAGAGCCGCTCTGCTGTCTACGATTAGCTTTGCTTACTGAAGAAGGGATTAATCAACGTGGGGAAAACAACATAATATGATCCTTTGGGAATCTGAAAGTCTGAAAACAACTTTTTTCTCTATTTCCTTTTAAAAATGTAATTCACTTCAACAAAACTTTATTGAGCACCAACGATGCAAAAAGTTAACTTGGGACCTAAATACAAGCAAGACACACTCTCTGGCCACAAGAAGCTGGCAGTTTTCAGAGGGAGGTACAGATACTGAAATAAAACCCATGGCAAGGATGGTCTGTGCCTTAATAGAACCGCGGACAAATGTATCAGGCACACAGAAGAGGGTGTGAAAGAAATGGACATCTGATTGTTGTCTCTCAGCCTCCATTCCTCCTGCCCCTTTTCCAGCAGCCATTGCTTCTAGTTGGAGAACCACGTGTTTCCAGCGAGGGAGATTCTTCTTTCCAGCTTCAGATGTTGAAAGGGAGACCTGGCTTGGCCAATCAGGGCAGCCATGCCCCTGGGCACAGTGATAGGTTCAGGCCCACCCCGAGCTGGACCAATCAGAGTGAAGACTGAGACTTTGGCAGGGAATGCTGAAACAAAGGCTGAGCCTTAGTGTTGGATTTGAAGGAAGAAGCCCCAGGAGCTGCTGAGAGCTGTTTTGTAACCATGAGGTGAGTCAGCCTTCCAATGAGGCTAACTGCAGAAGGTGAATGAAGAGACGGAAATAAACTAGAACCACCAAAATATTTCTTACCTAATGCCATTCTTATTCTGGGGTTTTCAGTCATGTGAAACTATAAATTCTTCTCATTGTCTAAGTCAGTTGGAGTTAGGTATTTTTGCACTCCCAACCAAAAGCATCCTTGGTGATACAGGATGGATTAGGGTGTACTTCCTGGAGGAAGTGGCACAGAACCTAAAACTTGAGGATGGGTTGGATTTGGATGGGAGAGGACAAGAATGTCTTGACGACTGTGCATGTGGCTGGGAGTGGGATGAATCCTATTCCAACGCAGCTGACCCTGGAAACATTGGGCTGGTGAGATCTTGGCATGTAGTAAAGGACACACTAAAGAATTTGGTCTTAATCTTGCAGGCAGTGTTTGTGTGAGTGTGATGGGAGGTTGTTCCCTTCTTTCTCAAATCCCTCCTCAGGTACCAGGAATTCATTCAGTGCATTCACATTTGCTGTTCACAGCTCAAACTTTATAGCAAGGTAAAGCCAGAATGTTCAGGTGAAGAAGCGGAGAATGGCTGCATTAATTTCCTAGGCTGTCAGAAGAGAGAGCCACAAACTGGGTGGCTTCCATCCACACAAATGTAATTCTTTCACAGTTCTGGAAGCTGGAAGTCTGAAATCAAGGTGTCAGCAGGGCTATGCTTCCTCCAAAGGCTCTAGGGTAGGATCCTTCCTTGCCTCTCCAGTTTTTGGTAGAGAAGTTTTTGGCTTATCCCAGCTTACTCCAATCTCTGCCCCTGTCTTCACATGGCCTTCTCATGTCTCTGCATCCTGGCCTGTTCTTCCAAGGACACCAGTCATTGGGTTTAGAGTCACTCTAAATTCAGGATGATTTCATCTCACGACACTTAACTAATTATATCTACAAAGATCCTATTTCCAAATAAGGTCATATTCTGAAGGTTCTCGTGGCATAAATTTTGGGGGACACTATTCAGCCCACTACATTGACCAATACCAAAGCCATCTGATGCTCCATAATTTATGTCAGTTAAGCTATGGAGTCCCCTCTTGCTGGCTGTGCTTTGGCCCTTGGTGGCATTGCTGGACTCTCAGTCTTCCTGTGAACCCAACCACTGTGTCCTGTCTTTTAAAAATTTATTTTCATTTGAGATGGGGTCTTACTATGTTGCCCAGGCTGGGAGTACAGTGGCTATTCACAGGAGTGATCACAGTACATGGCAGCCTCAAACTCCTGGACCAAAGTGATCCTCCTGCCTCAGCCTCCCAGGTAGCTGGGACTACAAGAGCATGCCACCAGGCCTGGCTTTGTGTTCTCTCTTAATAATGAGAATAACTAACTTACTATGGAGGAAGTACTGTGACAAAAGCTTCTTGCTCAAACTTAGGCACTTTCCTTGGCTTCTGACATGTCAAGGATTTTCAAGAAAGGAAAAAAGAGAGAAGGAAGAATGGGCGAGGAAGGGATTATAACCCCACTTTTCAGATATGACTCTAAAAAAATGAAGCGACTTGCTCAGAAAACGGAACAATGCTGAGATGTGAGGGCACTCTTTCTAACTCCAAATGTGTGCTTTTTAACCTCTTCTTTCTGGCTCAGAAGGAAAACAAAATATAGCATGAAAGTCTAATGAATTATGTTGAGGCTGGGCTATCCAAGATGGCCAGTTAAAGGAGAAAAAGAGAAGTTCACTGTGCAGTATGTCTAAGCCTTGAGATCCACTTATGAATTTATAATTTTTGCTTACAAGAACCTTCATTTGCATCATGTTGGGAAAGAATAAGACCAAAGGAGATTAATCTGATGCCTTCAGGACCTTTTGTTTTCAGGCTGAGCAGCAGGCTGACAGTGGTGGGGGCAAATGGAAAGGAAAGCCATTTGGTGGGAGGGATCATCCAGTTTATAAGTATAAAAAAGTTATGACTCAGCTTTTGACAGGGACCCAGGAGAGGGACTTAGAATTGAGTCATTATGGATTATTCTCTGAACCCAATAGGCCAATAGGCCAATGTGTTTTATGGCTCAAGAGGTTAAACTAGTTTGGGACATGATTTCTTAAGATTTTAGAACCAAACCAAAATATATCGCTCTTCTCTTGGGCAAAGTCATGGTGCATTTGTGTCTGGCATTCTGTGTGTGTTTCTGGGGGTTTAATCTCAAGAAAACTGCTGTAATTCCTCATTTGTTTTACTGATAGGGAAAAAGATCTCCATATAAATGAAATTTCCAGGTATTTGAAGAGTAACCAACTGAGAACTAAAACATTTTAACTTTGAGCATTTGGGAAGGACTCTTTCCAAATGGTAGTACACATCTGTGCACTTTCTAAAACTAGGAAATGACATGATGATTTAGGGTCACCAGTAGGAACACCATTTATCATATGGACTGGACACAGTGATTATGTCAGTGGCAAGATACTAGAGTGGACAGAGTCTGAGCTTTGAAGTTACCCTGACCAGCTTTGAATTCCAGCTGCCTCCTAGCAGCTATACAATTTTGTAGGAGTGACCTAACCTCTCAGCCTCAGTTTCCTTATATATAAAATGGGGGTAATAATTCTTACCTCCTGGGGTCATTGTGTGGATTAAATGACATAATATGTATCCATTAGATACATAGTGTGTACATAGAGCTTTCAGCAGCACACCTGACAAATAGAATGTGCCCACATGATTATCAACAACACAAAAAAGTCAACTGTTGTTGTTATTGTCCCTACAGTAACACTCCACTAACTCTCCCAAGATGGTTATTTTCATTGTAAGGACATGGAGTTTATTGAGTTTTATGTCCGTTTGTGTTTTTTTAAATGTTTGCTTTTTAAGGGGTGGGGGTGGTCTGGTGACTTTCTTGCTGCAGCTCTCTTCCTGCGTGGGAGTGCTTGCCAAAACATGACTTCCCCATCCTTTCTCATTCCATTCATTTATCCAACACGCATCGGTGACACAACGCAATGTGAGAACATACACGCCAGATGAGTCCCAAATACAATGTTTGGAGAACTGAGAGGAAACGGGGATGAATAAAGGAAGAATGGATGCATGAGTGTGTCACAAATGAAGAAACTCACAGGAAGGCCGTAAGAGCAAGGGGCAAACACCAGAGCGCTTTCCATATGCCTGATAGACTCTTCCCAAAAGCATACAACCCATTTTCCATTGTCATCAAATATTAGCAGACACCATCATAGGGTTTGCCTTTGGCATGAAAGATCTGGAAGAAGCTCAAAGGTCCTCAAGCCCCTACCCTTCAAGATGCAGTGATGGAAATATTGGTGTCTCAAACCAAACAGGTCCAACGTATGTATGTCTCACATTCACAGCCAAAGCAGCCCCTCTTCCCTCTATGCCTATTTCATATGCTGATGATCCATCCAGGAAGACTGCAACAAATCTCAGAGGCACTGGGAATCGAAACTTCCATTGCCTCTCACCTCCAGTTATCCCAATGCAGATAACTCCAAGCAGGGAAGACCAGATGAGTGAATCCTCAGCACACAGGCTGGGGATGACCATCAGACAACTAGGAATGGCCAACACCTTGAACTGGAGGTACTCCAAGGGTTGTGTTTTTAATTTCTGATGTTAGTTGTAAGATGCATTCCTTTAGAGCTATTAATTATGTAAGTAATAGTAGACAAATATGGACCCTGAGGAAGGGAGCCAAGGGAACGGGCCTGAATTTTCTGCTCTTTTGGGCAGGTGATGACTCCAAGTCATTACAATTTAGATGCATCCTTATTTTGCAGTCACAGTTTGCTGAGATCTGAGGACATGATCAGATACACTGACATGGATGTTACCATGTGGACAAGGAATGAGCAACCTTGAAAAATGTATTTTTCTACAGGCTGTTTTGGTTTTAAGATCTTGAGAAGGAAGTCCAGGAATTCACAAGCTTGAAAAGGAGATGCTGAGGCCACTCTGAAGACTTGAAGGCTTTTGCCTTGGAGGCAGTCCCAGGCCCACCACTCTTAGCAAAGGTCTCCTCCTGCCCTTTCCCAGATCTAACACAGGACACCAGGCGGAGAGGAACCGCCCCTTTTTCCTTCTCACTATTCTGGCTCTTGTTAGAGTGACAGTGGGATGGGAACTAGGACTCCTTGTCATTGCCAACGGTTGCCTTGAAGGACTGGAGTCTGAGAGTAAGCAAAGCTCATGACCCACACAAAAAGACCAGCTTCATGAAAGCTTAATGAAGTTACTAGTGTGAACTTAGAAGCAAGGTTGGATAATTAATTTTGTCCTGGCTATTTGTGAATAAACAAAGATTAATACAGTGATTTCCATTTCGTTGAGTATTTTTCGGCCTCCAAACAGGAAGGTCACGTGGTTTTGCTCTTGTTTGCATGAAGCGAAATTCTGGGGTCCTCTCAATAAACCCACACGTTTCTATCTGATGATGACAGCTGGCTTCTTGTGTTTTTCCAGGCCGAATTTTGACAGTGTTTCTTGCGCATTCTTCACCATCATTTGTAGCCACCTTGGCAGCGTCTGTAGACAAGAAGATAAGGGACTTTCAAACCTACCCATGAAGAGGAAGTGGCCCCAGAGTTCAGATAAAGTCCTGCCGTATACGGGCTGTATAAATGCAATTTGACAACTTGAGATTTTAAGTCTTAAGAATCTTTCAATTTCTCAGGCTCTGGCAGGAGTAAGAGAATATCCTGGATGTTTATAAAATTCGATGACCTTTTAAATCCATCCCACTTGAAGGAAGAGCTAGATTTCTGGACCCCCATTTTCTGAGGCTTTCCAGGGTGGACGCATGCCATCAGCTCCCCCTGCAGGTCTGAATCTGTCCTGCCAGGGAATTCCTGAGATCCACTGAGAAAGTGGATTCTGGAAGGGCTCTGAATTGTGTCGCACAGATGAAATGCTTCTGCTGCTTGGAGATGACCCACCTTTCTGCTGGAAGCCACACGTCCTGGGAATGCACCAAAGTCTGAGGCTGTCAGTACCTTACTATGCTGCAGGAAGACAAATCCCACCTAAAACTTCAGTGCCCAGGCAGGACCTTCCTTGCGCTAAATGCACTTTAGAATATTTGATTTTCTATTCTTTGTAAGCACTGTGGCCCTGTGGTAAATCCATCACAGATAAAATGGCCTCTACATGAGCCATGTGCTAAAAAATGATATGTATACCCATTGTGTGTTGAGTCTAAAAGTTGTTTCTCAAAAAGCTTTGGATTGTCTAGAATTTTATATGCGAGTCTGCTGATTCAGTCATTCAATAAATATCGTGATAGACATTCTGCTATGTGATTGATATGTGACAGACATTGTTTTAGGCACCCTGGACAAAGGAAGAGACCAAGGCAGGCGAAGACCCCATTCTCATGGACCCTCAGGAACAGCAGTGACGACATACAGTAAACAAGTGCATGAACATAAGTGTGGTGTGATTTCATGTGGAGATGGTGCTATAAAGAAGAGTAAAGCAGGACAGGCCAGGCATGGTGGCTCATGCCTATAATCCCAGCACTTTGGGAGGCCGAGGCAGGCAGATCACTTGAGGTCAGGAGTTTGAGACCAGCCTGGCCAACGTGGTGAAACCCCATCTCTAGGAAAAAATACAAAAAAAAAATTAACCAGGCATGGTGACACGTGTCTGTAGTCCCAGTTACTTGGGAGGCTGAGACAGGAGAATCACTTGAATCCGGGAGGTGGAGGTTGCAATGAGCTGAAGTCACACCATTGCACTCCAGCCTAGGCAACAGAGTGAGACTCTGTCTCAAAAAAAAAAAAAAAAAAAAAAAGGCCAGGTGCAGTGGCTCATACCTGTAGTCCCAGCACTTCGGGAAGCTAAGATGGGTGGATCACGAGGTCAAGAGATGGAGACCATCCTGGCCAACATGGTGAAATCCCGTCTGTACTAAAAATACAAAAATTAGCTGGGTGTGGTGGCACATGCCTGTAGTCCCAGCTACTGGGGAGGCTGAGGCAGGAGAATCGCCTGAACCCAGAAAGCAGATGTTGCAGTGAGCCAAGATCGTGCCACTGCATTTCAGCCTGGTGACAGAGCAAGACTCCGTCTCAAAAAAAAAAAAATAAATAAATAATAAAGAGTAAAACAGGATAAAGAATTGGAGTGACTGGGGGTGTACTCTTTTTGAAAGACTGGTCAAGGTAAGTTGAATTAGAAACCTACATAAAGGAAGACACCAACCCATGCGAAGATGTGGGTGGAGAGCATTTCAGGAGAGGAGGCAGCAAGTACAAATGCCCTGAGGTGGAAATGAGCTTGGTGTGCTCCAGGAAAAGCAAAAAGGCCAAGAGAGGCAGGACCGCAGAGTGTGAGGGAGTCAGTTGGAGGAGATGGAGCCCAAGAAGTAGGCAGGATATGTTGTGTAGGACCTTAAAGAATATGGTAAGGAGTTTGGATTTTATTGTGAGATGGGCAACCATTGGAGACCTTTCAGTAGAGTGAAGTGATCTAATTTACGGTTTTAAAACTTCCCTTCTGGCTACTATGTGCAGAAAAGACTTGAGAAAGACAGGTGTGGAGCCAGGGTATCTCAGTGAGGGGCTATTCTATAATAGAAGCCCTCTGAGAGGTGCTGGTGTCTTGGTAGTCATCGAAGTGGTAAGATGTAGGCAAATTCTGGCTATATTTTGAGGACAGAGCCACAGGACCTGCTGGTTAATTGGATGTACGAAGTGAGATAAAAGAAAGAAATCCAGCTGGGCGCCATGGCTTGTGCCTGTAATCCCAGCACTTTGGGAGGCTGAGGCGGGCGGATCATGAGGTCAGGAGATCGAGACCATCCTGGCCAACATGGTGAAACCCCATCTCTAATAAATATACAAAAATTAGCTGGGTGTGTTGGCACACGCCTGTAATCCCAGCTACTTGGGAGGCTGAGGCAAGAGAATCACTTGAACCCGGGAGGCAGAGATTGTAGTGAGCCAAGATCTCACCACTGCACTCCAGCCGGGGTGACAGAGTGAGACTCTGTCTCAAAAAAAAAAAAAAAAAAAAAGAAAGAAAAGAAAAAGAAGAAAAGAAATAAATCAGGTATGACTCCTGGCCTGGGCAATTAACTGAGATTGGGAGGACCGGGGGAAGAACACATTTGGGTGGGTGGAATCAAGAGTTCTGCTTGGACAAGTTAAGTTTAAGAAACTTATTAGTCATCCATCTGGAGATGTCAAGCAGGCAGTCTGGAACACATGCTCCATGCACGAATAACGAGGAGAAAACTATTTATGGAAAGAGGAGCTCCGTTCTGTAATACGTTGTGACACCTGGTTGTGAGCCTGCTCATCTCCTAGGTCTTGGTTTTCTATTTTGTAAAATGATGGGCTTGGCTGGTCTCTGAGGGTCTTTTCGGTCATGCAAGTAGAAAAGAGAAGATTCACATTGAAATTCACTGAGCAACAGGAGAGGGCTAGGCCTGCTGCTGGCTGGACATAAACCCATGAGACAGAAGACCCCAAGAAGACTGGCAGCTTATCTTAGGAACCTGAATTGGAAATGAGTCTTTGCAAAGCAATCACAGGCTTGTTTGAAAGTGGGAGTTTTGGGGAAGGAAGCACTTTAGCAGCAGCAGATGAATCTGCTCAAAGCAAAGCAGTATAAAACTTGGTATAAACAGGATTTGCAGGGAAGACAGTGAAGTGATGCTACTTCACTTCCTGGATCCTTTATCGCTATAACAGGTAAATATGGGCACCTGTGTCTGCCAGGAACATTGACATTTAATAGAGAAGTTTTTGTTTTGCTTTTTGCTTTACCTTTTCTTCTTCTTCTTCTTCTTTTTTTTTTTTTTTTTGAGACAGAGTCTTGTCCTGTCACCCAGGCTAGAGTGCAGTGGCACGATCTCAGCTCACTGGAACCTCTGCCTCCCAGGTTCAAGCAATTCTCCCGCCTCAGCCTTCTGAGCAGCTGGGATTACACGTGCGCACCACCATGCCTGGCTAATTTTTGTATATTTAGTAGAGACGGGGTTTCACCATGTTGGTCAGGATGGTCTCAAACTGCCAACCTTGTGATCCGCTCGCCTTGGCCTCCCAAAGTGCTGGGACTACAGGCTTGAGTCACTGCACCCAGCTCTTGCTTTACCTTTGTTGACACTAGCCTACATTGCCTGGATACACATTAGGTTTATTTTGTTTTTTTCTTTCATTTTTCTGTTCACATTTAGTCTTCTCACTGTACAAAGTGCTTTCATATTTCTGAACACCACATTTGGTCAGCATAACAGCCCTGTGGCTAGGAATATAATTAGATAATCCTGTTTTGGAGATAAAGAAACTGAAGTTCAGAGAGGTTGAGTAACTTGCTCAAGACCACCCAGACAACATAAGGATGAACCTAGGTTTTATGGATCCCTATGATTTCCTCTTTCTCATTATTCCATTTGGTCTTCCAAATGGAAAGGCTTGCTAAAGATTACTTGGCCGATTCCTGGACACTGTATGGTACAATTGATTATTTTGTGCTTTTCTTTTCAGATGGGAATATAGAAATGACACTGGTTTAGGTTTTCATGTTGCTTTATAAAGCCTCCCTGGTATTGCTAAAGTAGTGAGGTGTGTGGCACACTTCTGAACTAGTGGTTTTTGTTGTTGTTGTTGTTGTTTTTTTTAATCTTTCAAATACAACTCTTAGACACTATAACAAGTTTAGGAGTATTTGGGTTTTCTCTTCCACAGTGATGTTCAGCAGAGGGGAAGGAAGATCTTAGCAATATGGCCAGTGGAGGGAAGACTAAAGTAGAAGCTTACGCTTTTCAGCGTCTATGAGTTGGAGGATGAGATGGCCAGGTGATTCTAATCCAGGAGTGCGTTCTAATTTGTTGTAATTACTATTGCTATGTAACCAATTATCCCTAAACTAAGCAGCTTATAACAACCATTTGACTACCCTCACAGATTCTGTGGTCAGAAATTGGACATGGCAGTGGGATGGCTCGGGAGCCTCAGGTGGGAAGACTTAATGGCTAAGAGTGACTCAACAGCTGGGGTCTGGAATCCCAGGAGACATCACCACTTACTGTCTGGTGGTTGATCTGGCTGTTGGGTGGAACCTCAGCCACGGCTGTTGATTGGGGAAGCCACGTGTGGCCTTTCCACGAGGCCTGGGCTTCCTCACACTGTGGAGGTTTTGGGATAGTGGTTCCTTGGGGCTCATGGCTCCAAAAGCGTGAGCCCCAAGGAACAGGGAAGAAACTGCATTGCCTTTTTTTTTTTTTTTTTTTTTTTTTTTTTTGAGACGGAGTCTCGCACTCTAGCCCAGGCTGGAGTGCAGTGGCGCCATCTTGGCTCACTGCAAGCTCTGCTTTCCAGGTTCATGCCATTCTCCTGCCTCAGCCTCCCTAGTAGCTGGGACTACGGGCACCCACCGCCATGCCTGGCTAATTTTTTGTATTTTTAGTAGAGACAGGGTTTCACCGTGTTAGCCAGGATGGTCTCGATCTCCTGAACTTGTGATGTACCCACCTCAGCCTCCCAAAGTGCTGGGAGTACAGGCATGAGGTACCGCGCCCGGTCATTGCCTTTTTTAAGGTAGCCTCAGAGAGCATCACTTCTGCACATTCTATCAACTGCGATCAAGTCCCAAGCCTGCCTAGATTCAAGGATCCAGGACATAGACCCTGCCTCTTGATGGAAGGTCACATTGTAGGAGAAGATGTGGGATGGGAGATATTGCCACAGTCATCTATGGAAAATACCATGTGCCATTCTACTGAGGGTGTATCACCTCTGGGCTTTACTAACAATAGTGAAGGGACATGCTCATCTGCCAGATGCCATTGAAGTATTGCTGGGGCTGTAGCTCATGGCCAGTTACAGCTGCTTGGGTTTGAATCAGATCTCTCAACCAACCAACCAACCAATGCAGGAACCAGCCTAGCGACAGCAGCACCCTATAAGAGTCAAATACTGGGTCAAGAGCCAAGTATGAATTAAAAAGGCCCCTACCCTCAAGGATCACCTGAATCTTAAAGTTAGTGTACATAAAGCTAGCTGGAGTAAAAGTTTAAACTACAGATGGCTGTCTGCCTCCCTCCATTCTAATTCAGTTGTCAGTTCCAGTTGGGGCCCAGGAATCTGCATTGTAACAAGCCTGTAGGTGGTTCTAGCATAAGAGATCTGAGGGGGGCACTTTGAGACTCAGTGATGCAGCAGAACGAGCGCTTTGAGGCTGGGCACAGTGGCTCATGCCTGTAATCCTAACACTTTGGGAGGCTGAAGTAGGTGGATCACTTGAGATCAGGAGTTCAAGACCAGCCTGGTCAACATGGTG